TTCCACTGAAAACGTGAAGGTAAAAAAGAGTTACTAGGTTAATTATTTAACTGTGACTATCAAACACATATCTAGCAAAGTATATCTCATGCCTCCAAGCTTAAATAATTTTCTCTGATACTGTTGAAATGTAGAAAGTGTTGTTCATCTCATTCTCCATTTTACTAGCCAAACACACATTCATCTTAGTAAACTTTTTGCAACCGTTGCATTTGGAGATTGTAGATTGTTGATCTCTTGTTATTCGTTTAGTCGGTCAAATTGATTTGTTGTTGGCTTTTGTAATCAATCAACTTTTTGGCATTGATGTTTATTATATTTTGTTGATAGTGTGTGATAAATGAGTATCAGGGGGATTCTAAATCAGAATATCAGTTTTTTCACTAATCATACTGGAAGTTGATGCTATAAAAATTTCAGGATTTTCTGCCTTCTCTGACCATAGGTGCCTGTGTTCTATCTCCCGTGTGAAGTGGTATAATAAGGTGAGCAATATTGAGGTCAGGCCTCTATCGAATGCTAGGTAAGGAGAGGAAATCAATCGACGAGGCTGTGAAATTACATCAACTGAGATGGTTAGGACATGTGTTACGCATGCATGCCTGGTCATTGCCTTCCTCGACCGACGGCCAATGTTAGCTGACATAGGGTCAGGCTGGAAAATAGCTAGCGGCGGTCAAACCAAAACATGGCTGCATCAAATAATGAAATCCGCAACAGTTAGTTTAAGCCAGCCAGCCACGTAGGAAGGTGTAGACTGGCTTCATGGTTGGGGTCCTCGGGACGGTAAAAACCAATGGTTAGAAACTATTGGTGATATGGCTCAAAATCGTTCTCCATGCCTGTGGCACATGCATCCACTCCTCGTGACTTATGATTTCCAATGAAACTGTTTTGTTCTTCGTTATGACTATTCCTTTGTCTCACACCTCTGTTTATTATCTCTATTATGCATTTCTTCTCTTGCTTTGTGTGCTACAAGGAGGGAGTGTGGTGACTTGAATTGGTGCACATCGGTGGAAAGTTCTATTTCGAAAACAGACAGACAGACACCAAAAATTTGACCAAAGAACTTTTAAAATCACCTTCAAGCAACCAATCACAGCATTCGTCATGAATGCCATACCCATGTATCGGGTTCATAGGTAGCACTTGATTTGTTTTCCTAGTTTTATCTAATACATAGATTATCTATTAGCCCTGACTTTAAATCTATTATTGTGCTCAAGGAAAAATGGGCGTGTCTCTATGTGTAAATGCAGTTTATTAATAAATTCATGAAACATGAAGTACCTAAAATGACTAGGCACTTCAAATTGTATCTACTAATTCAGCTGCGCTTGTGGTGGAGCGAGTTATATGGACCGTTGCTCTAAGAACTTGATTTTTCGTGCTCACTCGAGAACATCTCCCACTACGGCTAAGTAAAGGTGTAGTGAAAACTATTAACAGTTCGGTATCGGACCATCTGGTGCAAATCGGCCGGCCACAAAGCCAGCCAGCGCGGAAGAATCCTTCTCTATCATTTACCGCGTGCCTAATAAATTGCCAAAATCATTGAAGTACCGCATGCTTCAAACAGCAGAGGCTATTGCAATTCGCTTCAATCAACCAGTGGTCTGTGTTCCAAAGAAGCAAGTTCAGCCCCTACTACTGCCTTGGCCTTCAGTAGAGACTATAAATTGATGCATGAATTTGTAATATTATCTTTCTTAATTTGTCTGTCTGACATTCAGCTTATTGTTATGTTGATGCTATTGAGCTGTAATCTATCAATATCATTGATTCGATGTTATTTAAAGAACATTAATGTTTTTCATAACACTAATTCATTCATGCATTCACCAAAATGTATATATAACTGTAGAGCCTGATGATGAAGGGGTTATCGAAAAGAGTATTCTTTGTCCAGAATCCATTCTTCTGAAAATTTATCAGTCCTAATGTCGCATTGCTAATGACTGTTTGTACAGCGTCATTTAGAATGTACGCGGTGGTAGCTGCTAGAGTTTAACCTCATCCATTTTCTATTATTTGAATAAATTATGTAGGCGGAACTTAAGGAAGACGCCATACTTAAAATAATATTTGAATACATCTCACTTAAGTATTTTATAAATACAGCGAGAAGTCTACTTGCTAACTTATTGTTTCTACATCTCCCCTTGCTGATCCCTTGATATTACAATAAATCTCTATAAACTTCTGTTAAATATTTCGTGTCGTTTATTGTTTTAAAGTTTCAAATCTGCTAGTTTCAATTCAAATTTTATTTGAAAAATCTAAGAAACCATTTCATCTCAAAATATAAGTGTTCATATTAGTTAACTTAATTTCCGGAAACCACTAGAATATTTAAGGTGTCAGTCACAGACTACAATGTCTACTCTTTCTGAACGATATTTAGTGACAATGAACAGCATATAAGGCCGGTTATTATTAGATGGTTGGAGGCAATCGGCCATAGGAAGCCTTTCTTGACGTACTTTTCGTGCTTGTTGGCGCTTGCCAGTCAGCAAGACGTATCTGCGACCTTGGAAAAACTAGTGTCCATTCTGCAATTTGAACTGACGTCACTCAGTGCTACAGTGTCAGAGACATTACCACTGAGCTATTCAGGCAGGCGATTCACTTTTTGTGAGACTGATTTAGATACTTAGCCACTATTCAGATACACCTTGCTGACTGGTGGTGAGTACCAACTAGCACGAAACGTAGTTGACCTACGTTTCGTCAAGTAAGGCTTCCTACCTCCAGCCACCTAATACCGACAGTATACAGTGCACCTAGTATGCTGACCACATTGCAAACTTGACTGATAGAGTTCAGTCTGCACCAAAGATAAGACTAAACACATTACACTAGTTACTGACTAGTGTGCAATGAAAAAAGCACTTCCTTATCCAAATGCTATGCATATTTTCTTCAACTAAGCTACATTCTAAGCACTGTACTCATGTTAAACCCCCTGAATTCATTGTTATATGATGTAATTTTCCAGATTTCAGGAATAAACCAGTCCAAACTCTGTTCACTATGATACTTAACGCACGCATACACGTGACTGATTGTACATTGTAGCCAATTATGTATGAAACCCTTTATGAGGTTACTAAGCGAATCGGTTATCAGTTATCTGAGAGATTTTCTTCGTTCTGTTATCTAATCAAAAGTTGTAATGGTTGAATAAACTTTATCATGATTCAAAATTAAGGATAAGGACCTAAGGAACTTTGGCTATGAAGCAACCAAACAAGAACCTATTGATCAACAAATATACAATGCACAAAGAGATAGAAGTGGATTCGATATAGTCTGAGGAGACTTTCAACTGGTATCACACACTAGGCGTTTGAGTGGGAAGCGACGCGTTAGATGTGAGTTTGAGGGCAACATAAATAAGATCATGTGAAGGTAGGAGGTAAAAGCTTATTGGCGATCGTGTAGCCAGCTGACATGAAAAGGCCAGCTAGCTGTCTCTGATCATAGGTGTCTGCGTTGTATCTTCCGTGTTAGATGGTATAATATTTATTTATTTTTATTTTTTTTATTTTTGATTACAGCTTGATTCCACACCGTATTTTTGGTACAAGTGTGGAATTTCCAGCGTGGATATCGGTAGCCCAAAATTCGCAGACCAACCATAGATATCAAGTGTGCGTCAGCGTGGGCTCGAACCCCGGACTATGTGCATGGTCGGCGAGAGTCCTAACCACTGTGCCACCGACGCACTATAGGGTGAACAATATTAAGGTTAGGCGTCGGGTATTGAGTAAGGAGGGGAAATCAATCCACGATTGAGATGGTTGAGATATGTGTTACGTATGTCTGCGTAGCCATCGCCTTTCTCGACCAACAGTGTTATCTGACATGGTATCAGGTTGGAAAAGAGCCAGTGGTGGTCAAAACAGAACATGACTTCATCAGTCAATGGAATCCACAACAGTTAGTTTAAGCTAGCCATGCAGGGAGGTGTAGTCTTCGCGGTTGGTTAGGGTCCTGGGGATGGTAAAAACCAATGAAGGCTGACGACAGTTGGTGATATGGCTCGGAGTCATCGTTCTCAATGGTTGGTGCAGATGCATTCACTCTTTATGATTTGTCATCTACAATAGAACTATATTGTTCTTCCATATTACTATTCTTTTTGCCTCACATTTATGTTTTATTATCTGTGTTTTGAATCTTCCTGTACTATTTTCTCTTGCTTTGTGTGCTACGTGGAGGGAGTGTGGCGACTTGAACTGCTGCATATTTGTAGAAAGTTCTGCGTTGAAACCAGTCAATCAGTTAGTCAGTAGCCAGTTAAAACTGACTGCAGAGAAATTGGAATGAAATGGCGATCTCCTATTGAAGCCTTCTTATGTGTTCCACAGTTCGAAAATTTCATGCAATAGTTTCCTGAAGTTTAAATACACAAGAGGAATTTTCCCCCAGTCTAGTGTGATGAAATGTGCGCTGTGAAGTCAATTGACTCAGAATGAGTAGGAAAAATGTTGGAGAAAAACAATAAATAGTCACAGGAAATTAAATAACTGTTCTTTTTCTCGTTTTTCAATATACACAGTTGTTAGGACTCTCGCCGACCATGCACATAGTCCGGGGTTCGAGCCCACGCCGACGCACACCTGATATCTATGATTGGCGTGCGAAATTAGGGCTACCGATATCCACGCTGAAAATTCCGTACTTGTACCAAAAATACAGTGTGGAATCAAGCTGTAATCAAAAATAAAAATAAATAAAATAATTGTGTACATTTGTTAAATGAGTTATTTTTTTCGCCTTCTTTTCATTTTAGTGAAATAGGCCCTTTTTTGTGTGTTTTCATCAAGTGGTGGTGGTCTAGTGTGTGTGTGTGTGCGCGCGCACGCAAGGATATAAAACACATTAATCACATTATAATTGTTGTCTTTGAATTCTTGTCAATCAGTCCACACAGTGTTGGAATATACATACATACATACATACACACACTCACGTACACACATTGATAAATCATGTCGAATAACACTACCAATACTAACAGTGGATTAGATATAACCAATTTAGATGATTTACGTGATCCATCTGGAATATTCTCTCTAATTGAGGTTGTCGGTAAAGGAACTTACGGGAATGTCTACAAAGGAAGGTATACTCGGACTGGCCAATTGGCTGCAATCAAAGTTATGCCGATTACTGAAGAGGATGAAGAAGAAATTAAACTGGAAATTGATACTTTGAAAAAAGTGAGTTTTTTTAATTTTTATTTTTTCAGAAGTTTATTTGTAAAGATTGTATTTTCTCTTTTTTTTTAAGGCGTTTTAAGTGTACTATAGCAAATTTGGTTGATATCTTAAATCGTCGAGTGGTTCATCGGTAAAATGCTCCTTATCCAATGCACACATCGTCTGGAGTTCATATCCTGGCCGGTACACATCTTTGCCCCGCTTGTTAGCTCGTTGTAAGCCAGGCAAAGAGGGAAGATTAGGCCGAGTGGGGGGGGGGCAACAACACTAACACCGTAAGACAACAACTGCTACTGAAACCTTAAAGCTTAGAGCTTGAGGTCCTATGTTAGACGGGGAAAGCAAAGGAATGAATTATTAGCATTATTATTATTATTCTAAGCCGAGCAACGATTGTGAATTAGGGATTCTTCGGACCTGACAATTGTGCATAACAGTGTCGCCGTAGGGTACTTAAGTGTTTTCATACACTAGGATTTGTTACTGTTCTTGAGGAATCTAATCAATTCAAAGAAATAACTAAGGCGTATAATGGCGCTTTTTGCATCTGCTTAAAATCCATGCATGATATTACATATGATAGATAGATTAACAGTTTGTTTTATACAAATGTAGTTTTCGAGTTAGATTTCGGAAACGCTTGTGGGTTTCTTCTTCTATTGATATCGTTAAGCTAGACATTAAACAATTGATCAGTTGTCTTTACTATTTCCACATTAAGAAGACACAAGAAAGATTGAGAAGGCAAAGCTCTATTGCTTTATGAAAAAAAGTCTATAAATCACAAATTTAAGATCAAATTCCAATAACGTGACCCTTAAGTCTACTTTACACATCACGTGGGAAACACTAACTCATGTGCCTCCTTGTGTCCTAAAAAAAGCCACTGCAAATCATGACGTTCTAGACAATTATTTCGTTATTGTGTAAAATTCTTCAGCAGGATGCATACATGACTCCACTAGACGTAGAATTCAGAACCTTCAGGTTACGACACTAGCATCATTCCATCCAAAACCTGGGTGATAAAGAGGTCCAAACTTGGACGAGACAACTATCCAGTGCTACTTGCTTTTCGATAGTTTTTGTAGCTAGCTGATGTCGATTCGTGATGAATTCTAATTTGATGTCAGTGAAATCCCTACAAATCAACCCTTGAAAATGTAGTTTTTCCATTCTTCATGGAGTATCTTGTTCTTCACTTCCGACCTTGATCTATTTTTGCTCACTGTATATTTCACATTTCCGTGTTATTAATTTCAGCTGATTTTCTGTGTTTTTTCTATTTTCTCTCTTCTATTAATTTCTTTTTCTCTATAATGATTTAATTATCGAACACTTGACTGTTTGCTTGATTCACATAGTTAGTTAGGTATAGACTGGCTGGCTGGCTGGCTGTGGTCCACATGACGCTAAGATTCTATACTACTAAAGACTGTTGATGTCATATTTCAAAATTGTTCTCAGTCATTGGTGCAGGTGCATTCACTCCTTATGATCTTTTAGACTCATTAGTTAATTATAGTTTCTTTTTTTCCTTTCAATGCATGTATGCATGCTTTTTGTGAAGTCTACTACCAGCTTGGTGTTTTTCAGTGTTGTGAAAACTGAACTCAATTGACACTTCTGTATATTCTTACATTTTACATTGTTGTTAGTTCACCTTTAATGTCTACAAAATCTTCCTCTTATCATGTGTGAAGGAATTTTAAGCGATTAAACTCTTCAGTTTTGATCATGAACTGACTTCAGTTGGAGTACCATTAAACGCCCGGGGGTGGGGTGCGCTTACTTGAAAGCAGTCTCATTCTTGTTTGGAAGTCTTCAACAGTATTTACCCAGATTCTCCTTTTAGGGATCGAACCTAGAACCCTCTGGTGTCTACAAGGCGAACTCGTATACATACCACTTAACTACTGAGAGGGGATCCAATGGCCCAATAATTTTGACGTCTTTCCAGTTCTAGATTAAAGTGCGACCACCAGCAAGTGTCATCAGTGAGAATATCTATCTTCATACCCAACTTGGGATGGACTCGGGTGATCACGACGTCTCCCTAGGACTTTAGGTAACTTGTAGTGAGTCATTGGTGAGGACTGGATTATTGATTAATCTCAAAATTTTGACTACTAATTTATTTGAATTGGGGAGAACCATTGTAATACTTCTATTTTGTAGGAGACGACAGACTGTTAGGAATGATAATAGTTATATCTACAACAATGATAATTTTTGGCAGTATGATTTTCATGATGGTATTCTTTTTTGCATTGATGTTATTATCAAAAACAATGTTTAGAAAGTGAGATGGTGGAGCACGGCGGTAGAATGTGCTCGTCAGTCATGACTCATGTGACCCGGGGTTCGATCCCCGGCCACCGACGCACTCCTTTACCTCGCTAAGCCAGCTAGTTATAAGACTGTTAAAGAGGGAAGTTTGGGCATGAAGCTAGCAAACCCATCTCGTAAAAGTAAACACCATTGCTATCGAAACTCCAAGCTTCTGACTTTTGAAGCCTTATGCTCCACTGAACTTGAATCATCTGAAATAACGTATGAAAAAAAAGATATCAAGGGCTCATATTGTTATGGTCTTGTGACTCATTCATTAGTCTAGACAGTTGGTTTTTTATTATGTTACGCGAATGGCAGTTATTACAATGATAACAATTTCTAGTTATGACAGGTTTATACTTTCACAGGACCATAACTGTTTTTTAAACGATTCATTTTCAACACAGTCTGTGACAGTGTAAGACATGCTGTTATGCCATTCAAATAAATTAGAATAAGCCTGTCCAAGTTACTGCTCATTCATAATTCCTGTGTTTAACTGGCTTAGCATCAAGTTGTACACAACCACCAGCCTCTGGAGAGTGACGTTATCTGGTACGCTGATAAGTTATTCAAATGTTATGGGATATTCCAGTTTGTATTTCAGTAGTTCGAGCATATGTTGTATGTGGTTAGAACATATAAAGATTAAGAGAACAGATAAAATTAAACCTTATAAGAGTAATGGTAAGCTAATAAATACTATACGATAACTGTCTGTGTAGATTCTGTTAGCTTTGCAGCAATTAATCCCTAAACTGAAGTGTTTCAGCTAATTTCCTCAGATGTTGTCGTTGTTGTTGTTGGTAGAACTTACTTACTTTATTAGATTCTTTCGTGTATCAGACTATAGGCCATACTTATTATGTGAGGGCTGATTAGTATTACATGATCCAAAGAGATGCTGCAATCAAAACGTCATAGTTTGTGTGCAGGCTGTGATGCTATCTGGAGGCCCAAGTCGGAGCGGATGGTTGCCTTCCAGGACCACCCTATAAGCCTTTGACTTGAAGTCTGATCCACAGGGCAATGGAGCGGCGTCAAGGGCTGCATTCCCATGGTCACCGGTTCCCGAAATGGGTTGTTCATACGTCGGATTCTGGAGCCCATATACATTATAAGTTTTGAATCAATATCTTTCAGCTTCTCTGCATATCCACAAGTCTGATTGTAAGCGCCAGACATTGACATTTATCCTTTCACTTTTTGTGAGGAGCACTGCCACCTCGTGAAGGCAGTGAATAAGAATTACTTGACGAGGGCTTTGCACGTGTGTCCATTTACCAGAGCACTTTATGAGTAAGATTGAAGTCTACCCACTCTCGACGATATCAAGTTGTTGTTAGGTGCTGATGGTACTATCCAGGCTGGAGCATGATGCGAATCCAGAGGTCAGCAGCTGCAAGTCGATTGCCTAAGTCGGTGAACTACATTTCCATATTTTCGCAACTAGTAAGTCATATCTTTGAATCTTCCCTCATCTAATGACATCCTAACTCCTACAAAGATGTGGCCAACTAACCTCTTACACAAATTTGCAAGCGGTTAGTGAGGTTCAAATGTAGTTGTCCCACTATAGTGCGTCGGTGGCACGGTGGTTAGGACGCTCGCCGACCATGCACATGGTCCGGGGTTCGATCCCTCGGTCTGTTAAATTTGGACTACTAATATCACATCCTGAAAATTCCTTACTTGTGTCAAAAATACTGTGTGGAGTCAAGCTATAATTAAATTAAAAATTAAAATTAAATTACACACAAACACAAGTTGTCTATCGTAAATTTCAGGTTCTAGAAGTGTATTCTTTCAGTTGAACTGTAGTCACTACTTCAGGTAGTGTGTGTGTGTGATCAGTAGTTTTTTTGTATTTATCTAAAAGGTAAATTCGTTCAATCCATGTTATCTAGTACTGGTCGTTTATCAAAACGATAAATAGGTTTAAATTTCTGAACTTATTTATATTTTACTAGACTGAATATCTGATAAATGGATTCGAATTTATTCCGGAAAAGAGTCTAGTCCATTGGTGCATGTCTCTTCTGCTGAACTTTTAATCACACTCGGTTAATTCTGGCAACTTGAGACATGATATCTATGGTCGGCCTGCGAAATTTGGGCTACCGATATCCATGCTGAAAATGCCATACTTGTACCAAAAATACAGTGTGGAATCAAGCTGTAATCAAAAAAAATAAAATAAAAATAACAGTATGATGAACTGTTACACTTACTTTCGTGATTTGTACAAATTACATTCTATTAGGACAACCTCCTGTTTCATTTTCACTGAAATGATTATATTAAGTGGTTGATGTTGAGGCTGATCAACTTAAACAAATCGACTTCCAGTTATTGAGTCCACTGCTGGAATCTCCTTCTTCCACCCACTCCAGACTAGGCGACTGAGTAGTATGTATCATCAGCCGTCAGGCAGCTAGTGTGGCTTTGTAGCCTGGTTGATATATTATAGTCACATGTGACCTAGCATATAATTGAAATGTTATTACGCACACACACATTAGCATTTGATCGTCAATGGTTGTACCTTAACTGATGAATCTGATGTCTTCAACTCTTTTGATGTAAGTTAGAGAACCATTGGAAAACCTGGGAGTACTGGATAGCTGTTTCGTCCTAGTTTGGAACTCTTCAGGAGTACGCACCCA